ATTATTTAAGGATTGCAAGTTTTGAATAAAGACTTATGGTTAGAGCCTTATGTATCTTGTATGAGTTTGGGTGCTCTACTCTTAGGTGTTGTTGAGTTGCTTCTAACTTACAGGAACCCACTGTACAACAGAACTACCATCTCCTGAATCATTCTCATGTTTTCTTTATCTCATTGTTGCAGTTATTGTGTCAGTCTGTCTCATTGAAATTCTTTCTCTTTTGCTGTTAAGCCTGTATTTTACCAAGCACAGTTACATACATCCCTGGATTGACCCCTCCTGATAACTTGTCTGAAGTTTATGAGATGAAGTCATGCTATCCTCACCTCTGGGAACAGCCTTGCTACTATTCTTTTGAGATAGGTTTTTTTACCCCTTTCAGCACTCCATGTATATGCAATCTTTTCCTAACAACACCATAAGCCCAAGCCATCAATTCTTTAGTCTGCCTTTTTTACTGTCTAGCATTTATTTACAAGTGTATGAAATTATTCCAAATGCCAGTGCTTGAGTCAGACATACTTTAGTTCTCAAACTGACACATTGGTTTTTGATGTGTTTTGTTTTGTGGAATTTGATTGGTTTTAGTTTTGGTTTGGTTTTTTACAGGGGGGTAATTTTTTTTAAACATTTTAAAGAGGCTTTAACAATAGATTTTTCTAATAAATCCTTTATTTTTTAACTGCTGCTTCTAAAGGCTTTGATTATACATTCAAATAAAAGGAAATTCTTAATAACTTGACACTTTCTCAGTTTATCACAATATTGCTTCACTTTGTTTGCTTTGTGCAAAGGCGTAATCTACCCTGAGAGTTGTTATTTATCTTCACCAATAGTGCTTGAAGTGTCTGTTTAGTTCTTTAGACAACTAAAATCAATTAGTCATAGTGTTAATAAGGTCAATGATACCTTTCAGGTGAGTCCATGCAATAAAATGTGTGTTATTTACAAATCTTGCCTGATAGACTGGTGGAACGCCTCCACGATCAGCCACGCTCCACCACACATCCAGTTACCTCATTTTATCACTATTCTTGTTTCCAGCTCTTCCTCCTTCTTTTTACTCTCAGTTATAAGCACTTGCTCCTTTTTCTTTAAACCCACCATACTCCCAAATCTATTGTAATTGAGTCATTGGAAACACACAGTGATTCTATAAGACATAGAGAAACTTCCCAACAGGGTTTCCAAAGCTGTAAATCTTTACAGAGCAGATTGCTATACTTTTTACCTGGTGTTAGAAGTCCATCTCTTAACCTTCTACACCAGCAGGTCTTCTTATTTCTTCCCCAGAACTCCAGAATACATCAGTTCATACACTGTTAGATGTTTTAATTGCATCCTCTTTCATATTCCAGAATGTGTAACAGCTATTTTTGTAGTGTTTTATTTCACTTAAAACTGTGGTCAAAACTAAACAATTAGAAGTAATAAAGGCAAAATTAGAAAATTCTATGTACAGATTATGAATGTCTGACCTATTGACAAACCTGCTTACTTTGTAATGCAGGCTTTGAATCAGTTCTGTTGTTGCCATCAGAGAAAAAGGAACAAACCAGAATGATTAATTTGTGTGATTCTTCACTGTAAAGCTGGAATGCCAGATACTTGGATAGAAGCCTTGATAGGAGACTTGAGAAAGGCATAATGATCTCTTCCAGGAGCATGATGTGTGAGATTGCATTATTGGCAGAATGTGGAATGCCCCATATACTCAAAGATCACAGTCAGCCGATATATATATTTGTGCAGGACATGACCAGCTTTGAAACCCTGCTGTATTTAATGCCATGTGAATTTGAAAAGATTGTACCAATTCTTCATCCCTGTCATTTTCAGTTACTAAGTGTGAAAGCTTTTAAATCATTGACAAGACTTTGAGTCTTTTCTTGACTAAAGTAAGACTAAATAAAAATTTTATTTACCTTAGTGGAGTGATATGCAAATTCTCAAAAACAAAGTTATGAATGGATCTTGTGTATAATTTGGGTGCTAGCTACTACATATTTCCTCATTATACTTTCAATAAACCCTTTGATTTCTTAACTGCTGCTTCCAAAGGCTTTGATTGTACATACAAAAAAAGGAAATCCTTCACAATTTGACAGGTTTTTTTTCAGTTTATTACAATATTGCTTATTGGTTAATTTTGAACCAATGCAAGAACAGTGCAAAGAAACGCTGCATGGTTCAAATGAAGAAAAAAGTGCTTCAGGGGTGTGCCCTTTTCCCAGATCTCTTACATCTCTATGTGGAACAGATTATTTGGGAGGCTGGACTTTATATGGAGGAGTGTAACATCTGGCTTGAAGGAAGACTCACTCTTAAACAACCTTCGTTATGCATATCATATGACCTTGCTTACCAAAACTGAGGAATATCTGAAGCATTTGCTGCAGAATTTCAAGGATTGTAGTCTTCCATATGGATTGAAGCTTAATGTCAATAAAACAAAGATTCTCACCACTGAGCCAATTGGCAGCCCCTTGATAGATGGAGAAGAGATTGAAGTTTTTAACAATTTCATCTGGTTCAGCTCCACAGTCAAAAATTTTGGCATGGCAGTCAGGAAGTTTACTGTCAGGGACCTCTCCAAAATGCTAAAGAGCAATGATGTCAGTCTAGATACTAAGGTGTGCCTTATCCAGGCCCTGGTCTTTGCAATTACTTTCAATGCAACAGAAATCTGGTCAATGACTAGGGATGACAGAAGAAGAATTGATGCCTTCGAGTTGTGGTACTGGAGAATAGTAGTGACCATACTGTTGAATGCCATGAGAACAAATAGGCCTGTCTTGGAGAGGATGAAACCAGTTTTCTCCTTGGAGGCAAGGATTTTGAAGCTCTGTCTCACATACTTTGGGAACTTGGCTGGGAGGGACCAGTCCTTGGAGAAGGTCATCACACTTGGAAGGGTGGAAGGACAGCACTGTATAGGAAGAACCCGGAACATGGTACCTGTGACAGGGGAATTAAGTGTGTTGGAGTCAGTGAGACTAGCTCTGGATAGGGCAGGAATCAGGCCACTATGTATCACAGCCAACTCGATGGCACATAACAATAGCAACACTTAGACTTTTATTTCCTGGCAGACTTTCTCCTTTTGTTCATTTGTCTCTTTGGTTCTTCATCCTCTCTTCATCCTCTCTATTCTGTATTTCACACTGAGCCAGTGAGCCTCTTCCAGGTTTATTATGATATGACAGAATTAGAATTCCTGAGGATAAATCAGGAGAAATGGACATAGGTGAGAGAGAACAAGGGTAGGTAAGGTGAGCTTTCCAATTGGGACATACACTTGTGTAGGGAGAAACTGAAGGGAGGAAAATTGCATAGATACAGCTTTAGGCTGCCATACTACTTTAAGGAAATGGCCACACCAGTGGGGAATCTAGTGTAAAGAAAGCCCATTCAGGAAGTCTCAGGTCAGATATGTCTAGCTCTCTGACTTTATGGCTCTTATTCACTGTCTAGAAGCTGTGAAGAAGTATAAATGAAGCATGCATGCTTCTTCTTCTTCTTGTTAGGTGCCAGTGAGTTGAGCACGACTCATAGTGACCCTAAAAACAAAAGATCTGAACCCTGTTCTATCCCGCGCCATCCTCACACTTCCTGAACACACAAGACCCCATTGCATCAGTCATCATGTTAATCTACCTGGTTGAGGGTCTTCCTTTCCCTTGCCAACCCTCCATCCTTCTATAATTTATTAAAAACTGGAATACCTGGTGGTAATCTGCTGTTACTGGAATAAAATTATCTCCAAGGACGATCTGAATACTGCATCTACCTTTCCTCACCTTAAGTTACTTTCCCAAAGCTTAAACATGCCTAACTGCTTCTCTTCTTTTAGCAACTTTCCATAAACTACTCCTGTATTCTGTTGGCAAAACTTGTATTTCTCCAGTGTATACTCACCACCGGCTCTTAAATAGTCTTTAAAAGTATTGTCATTATCTACCCACATTATCTGATTTGTATGCTTTAAAACCTTTGTAGTTGTTAGGTGCCATCGGGTCGAGCATGACTCATAGTGACCCTGAAAACAAAAGATCTGAGTAGCAAGTGTTTGCTACATAAAATAGCAGAAGACAAAAGCTATTCAGTCCATAACTAAAAAACATTGCCATTCATACTACTTGTAAGCCATATTTTACATGAAACATGCCACGGTCTTTGCAATCACTTGCTATGCATCAGAGAGCTGGATAATGACTAGGGATGATAGAATGAGAATTGGTGCCTTTGAGCTGTGGTGTTGAAGGAGTGTTGAATATACCATGGACTGCTAGGGAAACAAACAAGTTTGTCCTGAAGAGAGTGAAGTTGGGCTGCTCTTTGGAGGCAAGGATTCTGAAGCTTCGTCTGACATACTTTGGATATGTTGCAAGGAGGGACCAGTCCTTGGAGAGGGACGTCATTCCTAGGGGGGTGGAGGGACAGTGCAGGAGAGGAAGACTCTCAATGAGATGAATTGATTCAGTGACTGGGTTAATAATGAGGGTAGGTTGTCAGAGATGAGGGTAATAATGAGGGTAGGTGTGTCAGAGATGGTGAGATTGGCACAGGATAGGGCAGAGTTTAGGGCTGTTGTATGCAGGGTCGCTATTTAATGATAATTATTTACTTACTATTGATGTATTTTGAGAGCTTCATATGTGACAGAGACCATTCTGGGTGTTTTAAGTATAAATTATTTCACCAACACCTATACTATCTGTAATAAATTGTATCAGTTTAGATATTTGATAGAAGAAAAAGTGAAACACAGAGAGGTCAAATAACTTACTATTGTGTGACTAAAAGAATTAACACCAGGATTCAACATCAGTGATCTCCAGAGATCACTCTGAACCTATGTAATATATATTCCCTTTAAATATTAAACATTTGTGGTTGTGTCTTGCTTTTTTCTTTTTCTTTTCAAAGCACAATATTGACACCATGTCTCCTTTTAAGTGTGTGCTTCACACAGCAATATTTTGTTTTCTATCTTTCAGGTCCCTGCATTCCCAATCCATGCCATAACGGAGGAACCTGTGAAATAAGTGAAGCATACCGAGGGGACACATTCATAGGCTATGTTTGCAAATGTCCTCGGGGATTTAATGGGATTCATTGTCAGCACAGTAAGTTATTCATAGTCATTAAGGTTTCATGATCACTGATTGCAAAGTATACAGATCATTATCATTGTTGTTTGTTGTAGAATCCTGGAAACTTAGAGGGCCACAGAGCTCTGGAAGTCTGTGGATATCACTTTTCTCCCTCTGATACACCAGATTCCCAGCTGATGACTCCTGAATTGTGTTAGAAGACAAACCTATGATTGACATTGGGACTAAGGAGTTAGTGCTTCCCCTTACTCAACTATGTATACTGAGTGGTGTTCTTTACATTCGATTGATAGCTGTTTCTCATGTCCATTCAGCTGCATTCTTCAAGTTTTCAAATACTTATTCTTTTCAGAGATGAAACAAGATAACTCCCAGCTTTCCCATATGTACAAGCCATTATCCTACCACTAATTGCTTACTTGTAATGTGATAATCATTGAAAATTTAAGTAAGCTATTTGTACTTCTCTTGTCTATCTCCATTATTATTTATCCTCAAAGTTTGAGTGAAGTAGATGCATTTGTGAGGATTTCTTCTTAGAAACAAGCCAAGATAGATCAATGATGGGGCCATTTAACTGCTGTCATTCAAGAATAGGAAGACCATCGTGAACTAGAAATGTTGATGAAACTCTTAGAGAGGCTGCCACTTGGTCTCTATATTGGGAAAGAGGTTTAGGTTAGAGGGAAAGGAAAAGCATATGTTAGGAAAAGTGGGGAGAGAGCATTTGAGATATGGCAATTATGTGATCATTAGAGAATGTGTTAGGAATGGATAAGGCTAAGTGGTATAGACCCGTGAGAGCTAGAGTTTTCAACAATGAGGGAAAACTAGGGAAAGTATACTGAGAGTGACTTTGGATATCCTTTGCCTTTTTCTAGGTATTTACACTGGCCAGAAGTCTGTAGATTTTGGGTGGCAAATAGTTACAGAACATGGACATCTATCTTCTTAACTACTGCCTAAATCTTTGTAATCGTATCTAAGATGTCAGAACACCAACTGAGACAGAAGAGGCAACGGATTTCTCTCAGACAGTCTATAGATGCTAAGGACGATTTTCCCTTACGGTAGCAACACTGTTCAGCCCTCACACATTGAACATCTTGAAATAGCCCTGGAAATACAGACAGAGAATCTCAGAATCTTGAAATGTACTTAAGCCCTTGAAGAGAATGTTATTAACCCTTACTTTATGTCTTGTAACAATCTTGTGATACGGTGTCAGTTCAATGAGAGAGACAGAAGACTAGTGGACCACCACACCTGAGCCTTTCAATGCTGAACGCATAAAGAGTAGACACTGTTTCAGTGATTCTCTTTGAAATGAGACCAAAATATTCATGATGAAACACTGCTGTTCAGTGTTCAGACACTAGCTTTGCAATTAGTCATCCGCAGATGATCTACAGGTTGGCATTACTCTAGGAGATGTTTTGTTCTGTATTGTATATGATTCTTATGAATTAGAGCAGATTCAATGGTAACAACAAGCTACAGCACCAGATTTTACTATTCTAAATGAGATAGACTGATACAGTCACTGGGCAATGGGGATTGGTGTGTCAGAATTAGTGAGACTGGTTCAGGAGTAGATAAGGCTCAGAGATGCTGTACTTAGGGTTGCTATGCATTGCAGCAACTCATCAGCACATAAAAACAATAACATACTCTGAAAGGTTTGAAAGCAGGAGTGACATCCACTTCCTAAACAACGTGCCTTCAGAAACTATGAACTTTGATAAACGTGTATGGTTTTAGAGGGACTTCAGACCTTTTGATTATAGGGTCGCTGTATGTTGTGCTCAATTCAAAGCCATAAAACAACAACAACAAATCCTTCAAGGGCATAAAAGGTGATTACAGAGAGACCACAGACAGATCCCTAATGCAACTTACATATTTCTTCACGTTTACTAACCCTGCCCACTGACCTCCTGCTGAAGTCAGTGTGAAGTTGGGGCTGATCCATAAAATGGAAAGTGGGATACTCTAGATCTAAATTGGAACAAGTAATCATGTATGATTGTATAACATTCTTTTTACGTTTCCTGAACATATTTTCTTTCTATTATAGAGATCAGATTGACTTCAATTCTCTTTAATGGTTTAGAAATCCCAGTAAGGCATCAAGTTTCATTTACTCCCATATGGGTTTTGAGTTGGGCTTGAGTTATTGGAGAAATGTTCCCCTGATTATGATTCCCACATATATGTGCTTATAAATTTTTTTTCAAGACGTAAGCAATTTTGGAGAAATAGAATAATTATTATCCTCATTTTCCAAAATGGAAGGTATGGGTTTGTGGGGTTTTGGGTCAGTTTTTTTTTGTTTGCTTTTTGCTTTTACTTCACCCTTAAATCATGCTCCAATAAGTTTCTAGACAAACATAATTTTGTTGAAATTCAAGGATGTTTTAAAGTATACAGGAACCTATCCCTTTACTGAACTCAAACTCTCAGAAGACCTCAAATCTGTGTTAGGAATTGCAGTGCGAAGCCTGAGGCAGAGAGATTCAATTTGGAATGGGGATTTTGTGGTCTAAACAGCTTGGACCTAGTCTTTGGAGTGCATTAATATTAGAGGCTACCAACAATGGACCAAAAAAAAAGCGCTGGATTTAGCATCAGACACCTGGATTTAAGTCTTGACCTTTCAGTTATTGAATAAATGACCTTGAGTCAATCACTTGACCTTTTTGCAATTGAAAACATATAAACTGAGGGAATTGAATGAGAAATAGATGAACTTTAGTTCACGACAGCTTGCAGAGTATTACTGTTAAACGGAAGCTTGCTCCCTGTACAGAGGTTATCAATCCTTCCTCTTTATGGATGAAATTGAAAAGGATTATTTATTGAGAAAGCAGATTTACAAGTGCTAGAAGGCCTGAAAACTCCTTTGCGCATTAGAAACACAGGAGCAGCTCTTAATCCTTTGCAAGAGCCACTACTAGGTGTTTGTAATTATATTTTTTTTTCACAGTTCATTCCAATTTTATGCTTTGATACACTCTTAAACTGTATTATTCAAAATATTATTATATATCAGCATTACCTAGAAGCTTTGGTGATATTATAAATCCAGGTAATAAGGCACCACTCTGTGCCTGATGGCCCAGAGTCAATATTTAAAAACGTTCACACTGGACCCCCCCCAAAAAAAGTTTCAGAAATACCGTCGAAAGCGTTTAATACTTTCATGTGTGATCGTTTAGATTAGGGGCCAGCCTTTTTCATTCGGTTTCATAACAACAAATCAACAGTCGTTGTTGTTGTTGTTGTTGTTGTTGTTGTTGTTGTTATTACTGATTGCCTCCAAGTTGAGCATGACTCATAGTGACCTTATGAACAATAGTCCTGAAGCCCCTTTCTAAATATCGACATTTATCGAAGTCCATAGAGTTTCCAGAGGCATGTTGTTTAGGAAGTGGATGCCACTTCCGTTTCCAAACCTGTCACGGTATGTTATAGTTATGTGCCGTTGAGTTGCCTGCGATGCATAGAGACCCAATATATAGCCACTCAGAAACCTTCCCAGTCCTGAGCCAGTCTCACTAATTCTGATACATCAACCCCCATTGCTCCAGTGACTGTATCAGCCATCTCATCCGTGTTCTCCCTCTCCTGTGCTTTTCTGTCCTCCCTTTTGAGCATGATGTCGTTTTCCAAGGATCTGGCCATGTGCACAAAGTAAGTGAGGCAGATCTTCAAAATCCTAGTAGTATGGTTCAAATATTTATCTTGGATTTTGTAAATATAAACTGAATCACAAGTCAATGAAATTTGAAAGACGTAAAAAATAGAATGTAAACAAATTGATTTTTAAAATGAATTGGATAAAATCACATAGCAATATTGGAGGTGGGAATTCTAAATACATTTTTGTGAAAGAATGTTGATTACCTTTTTTTTAAGAAATAAAGTTTTAAGCATTTAAAGAAGTTGATGTTTCATAATTTTATTAAATTCATATTAACAGTTATTTTACTGGTAAATTACAGACTAGAAACTCGTCTCCAATTCCAAAATTAATATTACTGTCATAAGCTTTTTGTTAGAAGTATAAGGTTATAATTTTTAAGAAGAATAATGCTTAGAATTAGATTTTATTAGTATTCCTACTTATACTGGGTTTTACAGTACTGTAGAAGAATGTGAAGGAAATTGTAGGGTGAACTGAACAGAGGTCAGAATTTTGAAGTGTATTTTTAAACAAGCTGTTTTCTACTAGAATCTGTACTTTGAACTAGGTTGAAGTAATCATATTTGCTTTGTTGCCTAGGAACACATCGAATGCCTTAGGGATGTGTTGCATCTTTATTCCCAGAAATCTTGGCCCATTTTCCCACTGGAATAATTCTGTACATTCTTGCAGACTTTTGCACAAGTCACTGTTCATGGCATTGTCAAGAAAAACATTTCTGGGTCAATATTCCAGGAGAAAAGACACCTGATCTGCAAATCTACAAAGTTCTGAAAAAACAAAAACAGAAAAAAAACAAAGAAAAAAGGATTCAAGAAGAAGTGGCCCAGGTTATCATATTTGCTGGACATAAAATTCTCTTTTCTTCTTTCTCCCACGTATTTAGCTATCCAGGGAAACAGTGTCTACCATTTTTCTTTTTCTATGTACTATTTGTACTATATGATTTATTACTCTGGGGATGAAAAGGTGAGGAAAATGGAGTTGCTTTCATAACAACAACAACAACATGTACTATTTGTACTATATCATTTATTACTCTGGGAATGAAAAGGTGAGGAAAAATGGAGTTGCTTTCATAGCTAAGAAAGCCATTGCTAGATCCATCTTGAAGTATAAAACTGTGAGTGACAGGATAGTATCCATACACATACAAGGAAGGCCAGTGAATACCACCACTGTCATTCAGATATATCCACCTGTACAACCAGAGCCAAGGAAGAGGAGATAGAAGATTTTTACCAACGTTTACAGTCAGAGATCGATCAAACATGCCATCAAGATGCACTGATAATAATGGGTGAAT